GTGTGTTCCTTGACCTTTATGATGCTGTTTGTTCACTAATGTTCTCTAACAAACCTCTGAGGACTTCACAGAACAGCTGTATTTATACAGAGATTAAATTATACACAAGTGGACTTTATTTACTAATTAGGTAACTTCTGAAGACAATTGGTTCCACTAGATTTTAGTTAAGAGTATCAGAGTAAATGGGGCTGAATACAAATGCACACCAAACTTTTCAGATATTTATTTGTAAAAAATGTTGAAAACCATTCATCATTTTCCTTCCACTTCACAATTATGTGCAACTTTGTGTTGGTCTATCACATAAAATCCCAATAAAATACATTTATGTTTTTGGCTGTAAATCTGATAACTCCTTTACCTTGCAGTACACATCAAAATAGTTATAAGAAAATCTCAAAGCTTGAATCTGCAGAGATTATTATGTTGGATAAATTCTTGAGATATGTGAGAATTTTGAAAACAGTAATCTAGCCTAGAATAAAATAAGCATTATTAGCCTATTAAAATGTAAAATAACAAAAACAGCTTTTGCTACAATACACCCCTTCAATTCAGAGATTTCTCTGCAGTACTTTGTGCCTCTAGATGTTCTCAATCTGATAGTTAGCATCATTCAAACCACTTCCTCTGAGCCCAGATCATCCCTGACCCACCCCCACCTTGTGACTAGATGGTAAAAAAAGAATTAGAATTATACCTAATCAAATTATAAATTTGAGGATTTACGCTTTAGCCACATCTAAACCTGCTTCATTGCATGGGCTTTGGGGTCATATAGTATATAGCTGAGGTCTGATATTCAACTGTTAATATCCTGGGGCTATGTGCTGATTGGGGTATGATCCAGAGGTTTCTTCTAGTTCCTGGAGAAGAAGAGTGCTTTGGTGAATGGACAGAAGGATAAAAATAAAACCACTGCTGGTTACAGGCTACCCTGCTAACAATGTACCAAGATAGGAAGTACATCAGTCCGCTCTGTTCCCAATTTGTGGAAGCCAAGCTTGGATCTCCTTGTTCCTCTACAATACATCAGCCCCATAGAAGAGTATAGAAATCTCCCAACACATACGTAGGAGGAAAAGCTGTCCTGAGACTCCCAGGAGTCTTTCAGACACGGGCTTATAATTGGACAGAGAAAGCGTAATTTATCACCAACACTTAAATTAATAAAAACAATTATTTAAAAAAAAAACAAAAAAAAAACATAAAGGTCCTGAGTTTAGACCCAAGCCGCTCTCATGAATACAAATGAGGAACAACAAAGGAAACAGAAAGTCTTATTTCATAATATCCAAGGAACAATGCCATGTTCTATCTCATTGAACCAAATCAGATTCTAGCGTTTAGCAGCTCAGGGTATGCCAAGTGACCAAGGCTTATTTCTGATTGGTTCATGCAGAGCAGTGCACAACATTACCCTTTACACCCATTTGAAGGATCAGCTCTCCCAGTTTACAGATGGATGCTGGTGGGCTACATTTTCCTCTCTTTATTATATTCGCCAGACTCTAACATTGAAATTCCTAGATATGCCCCCCCCAGTTTAGCCAAAATAAAGCCAGATGTAGAAGTCTTCCTCCTCTTGCTGCATTCTCCATAATATAAAAGTAAGACTGAACCCTGCACAAATAGTTATCAGATATGAGGACTAGTTAAAGATATCTGGCCATCAGAAGCTCCAAAAGAGATAAGAAGCTGTTGATTGAATCAGCCAGTCCTTTAAGCAAAGCTGCTAAAAACAATTGTGTTTAAAACAAATATTAGGGCTTCAAGCTGAACTTCAGGTATGGTCTTAATTGCATACTTGGTCCAGATTGAACCAGTTTACACAGGCATATCTCATACTTGAGGAACCACTGTGGAAGCTGATAATCACTGCAGTATTTGGCACTACTACAGTTGTAATTGATCTTTCAGATCCTGTGACAAGCTGCTGCCCTATTGCACACTGACCAGGACCACAGGAAATCACTCAGCACTGTGGCCATTCATAGATCACCTTATATTTTTTTATAAGTGAATACAAGCCATTTTTTGATTAGAAGATGTGGAGAGGAGGAGTGGTGATGTCATGATCTCCACCTCATCCAGTCAGAGAACACCTTGTATACAAGAGTTCTACGAATGATGGCAGTGCAGAGTAAGTGCTTCCCTATGGTCAGTGTGCAATTGGACAGACACTAGGCACAGCACTCAAAAGACTGCAGTGATTACTGTAGTGGCGCTACCTACCACAGAGATCATCTGCTTCTACAGTGGTCCCTCAAGTATGATTTATGCAAATTTCCACTGGGTCAATCTTAACCAAGTATTCAGTTAAGATCATACCTGGAGTTCAGTTTTAGGAAAAGACACTACAATGTGCATTTATGTTTACACACCATCACCTACATGGCCTGTGATCTCCTAAGTATGGCTGCAACCAAACCTCTACCTTACCTGGTCGTGGCCTCCACCATTCCACTATAACACGGTGTGCTGTAGGAGAGAACCAACCTCTGAACCTGCTTATCTTGTTAGGTTTACTATTACTATGCACTGTAGGATATAGAGCCAAAACTGAAAGAAAACACGAGTCACCCATAGGAACAACGAGATCCCGCGAGTCACCCATAGGAACAACGAGATCCCGCGAGTCACCCATAGGAACAACGAGATCCCGCGAGTCACCCATAGGAACAACGAGATCCCGCGAGTCATCCATAGGAACAACGAGATCCCGCGAGTCACCCATAGGAACAACGAGATCCCGCGAGTCACCCATAGGAACAACGAGATCCCGCGAGTCACCCATAGGAACAACGAGATCCCGCGAGTCACCCATAGGAACAACGAGATCCCGCGAGTCACCCATAGGAACAACGAGATCCCGCGAGTCACCCATAGGAACAACGAGATCCCGCGAGTCACCCATAGGAACAACGAGATCCCGCGAGTCACCCATAGGAACAACGAGATCCCGCGAGTAACCATAGGAACAACGAGATCCCGCGACGTCACCCATAGGAACAACGAGATCCCGCGATCCCGCACCCATAGGAACAACGAGATCCCGCGAGTCACCCATAGGAACAACGAGATCCCGCGAGTCACCCATAGGAACAACGAGATCCCGCGAGTCACCCATAGGAACAACGAGATCCCGCGACGCTCACCCATAGGAACAACGAGATCCCGCGACGCTCCCCATAGGAACAACGAGATCCCGCGAGTCACCCATAGGAACAACGAGATCCCGCGAGTCACCCATAGGAACAACGAGATCCCGCGAGTCACCCATAGGAACAACGAGATCCCGCGAGTCACCCATAGGAACAACGAGATCCCGCGAGTCACCCATAGGAACAACGAGATCCCGCGAGTCACCCATAGGAACAACGAGATCCCGCGAGTCACCCATAGGAACAACGAGATCCCGCGAGTCACCCATAGGAACAACGAGATCCCGCGAGTCACCCATAGGAACAACGAGATCCCGCGAGTCACCCATAGGAACAACGAGATCCCACGAGTCACCCATATGAACAACGAGATCCCACGAGTCACCCATAGGAACGAGATCATGTGAATCACCCATAGGAACAACAAGATTCCGCAAGTCACCCATAGGAACAACGACATCATGCGAGTCACCCATAGGAACAACGGGATCCCGCAAATTACCCATAGGAACAACAAGATCCCGCAAGTCACCCATAGGAACAACGATCCCGCAAGTCATCCATAGGAACAAGATCCCGCGAGTCACCCATAGGAACAACGGATCCCGCGAGTCACCCATAGGAACAACGGATCCCGCGCGTCACCCATAGGAACAACGAGATCCCGCGAGTAACCCATAGGAACAACGAGATCCCGCGAGTAACCCATAGGAACGAGATCCCGTGAGTCGCCCATAGGAACAATGAGATCCCGTGAGTCACCCATAGGAACAACGAGATCCCGCGAGTCGCCCATAGGAACAACGAGATCCCACGAGTCACCCATAGGAACGAGATCCCGCGAATCACCCATAGGAACGAGATTCCCGCGAATCATCCATAGGAACAACGAGATCTCACAAATTACTTATAGGAACAATGAGATCCTATGAATTACTTATAGGAACAATGAGATCCCACAAATTACCCATAGTAACATTGAGATCCCACAAATTACCCATAGGAATGAGATCCCACGAATTACCCATAGGAACAATGAGATCCCACAAATTACCCATAGGAACAAGAGCCCGCAAGTTGTCCAAAGGCACAAGATCCCACGAGTCACCTATAGGTATCTCATGGGATCTTGTTGTTCCTTTGGGCAACTTGTGGGATCTTGTTGCTCCTGTAGGTCAGGGGTCTCCAAACTTTCTAAGGAAAAGGCCAGTTTACTGTCCTTCAGACTTTAACTTTAGGGGGGCCTGAAAATGTCCCTGTATCAGTGGGAATAAACAATACCCCATCTTTGGTGTTATTGAGAGGAATTGTGCCCCATTAATGGTGTCATTGGGCTCCATTCTTGCTATCATTGGGATGAACTGTGCCCCATTAATGGTGTCATTGGGCTCCATTCTTGCTATCATTGGGATGAACTGTGCCCCATTAATGGTGTCATTGGGCTCCATTCTTGGTATCATTGGGATGAACTGTGTCCCATCGTTGGTGTCATTGGTTGCAAATGTGCCCCCTCCTTGGTATCACTGGGGGAATTTGTTGATTTCAGTGGATTAAATAGTGCCCAAAGGGCAAGATAAAAGCTAGCAAAGGGCCACATCCGGCTCCTGGGCTGCACTTTGGAGACCACTGCTGTAGGTAACTGGTAGGATCTTGTTGTTCCTATGGGTAACTCGTGTGATCTTGTTTCTATAGAAACATCAATATCCTATCAGTAATGTGTCATCACTACAGGTAACATACACCCTGCCTTCATAGTGTGCTGATTTCATACAAGATGGATCCACCATAGAAAGGCAACCACAAGTCCCAGGAGAGGTGAGTGGTCCCTCTTACCTGAACCGTTCCTGTCCGGCTGTGTCCCAGATCTGTAACTTGATCCGCTTGCCTGGTTCAATCTCTACCAGCCTGGAAAAGAAATCCACCCCAACCGTGGGGTCAGAGACTTGGGCAAAGCGGCCCTCTGTGAACCTCCGGATCAGACAGGACTTCCCTACGGTAGAGTCCCCAATGACGATGAGACGGAACTGGTACAACCAGATGGCCTCCATTGTTCCCGGTGGGTTGGATGCGACGGGCCGGAGGTTGTAGCTCAGATGTGGCTCCTTGCTGTTCTTTGTATGGATCTTCTTAATGTATCAAATATAGATCTCTGCAGACGGGTGACGAGAGGCCCATACACAGCCCTGACCAGTACCATACAGTGTATGGGGGAAGTGCTGCACACCACAATGAGTCCTGGACAGCTGGCCGATCTCCTCCTCGTCAGTAGGGACTATGATGGGATCATCCACCTCTCCGGACAGGTGTCAGGGCTTCACCTACCAACAAAGCGGGTGCAGTGACCAGGCCGGCCTGCGGGGGGGTGCTCTATGGAGAGGCAGGATCACCTCCTCGGGAAGGTGAGCGCTCCGTACACACATCGGCCATGTTGGTGGTGAGGACAGGAAATTCGGGTGAGAGGTGGGGGAGGGGTGCTCAGGCCACCTCCATGTTGTACTGAACACAGGTAAGGCCTCAGCTAGGGGAGGACAATGAGGACAGCACGGGGCTCGGCACTCCCACACACCTACCTCCTCCGGGGATTACACGGGCACAGCACAGCGCCCCATCCTCACCTCCGATCACACAGCACAGCCGGCGGAGGGTCCGGGGGACATGGTGCGGAGCGGGGGAAGGCCGGGAGCGGGGGATGGACGAGGAGGATGGAGGATGTCGGCCGCACCGATCTGATGAAATGGCAGCAACATCAGCACCAAACACTCTGACTCATCATTGGCATCAGAGGCTGCCGTAATCCGCCTACTAGCCGAGCAGACCCGCCCCTACCGTATTCCTCCGAGCAGCGCACCGCCACCCGCCCACTACAAAGGATCCTCTATGAGGCTACTGAGAGCCGCTACAAAGGAGCCATAACATCCCACCTGAAGGTGAAAGGATAAGGAAAGGCAGAATGTTATCATTTCATAACCCCTGAAAAGGTTGCTTCTTTTTTTCAATCTGTGTCCCCACTGGGGAGATTTCTTTTCACTTCCTGTCCCACAGCCAAAGCAGGAAGTGAGAGGAACACCCTCCAAAGTGAGGAAACCCTGGAGTGACACCAGGATCATCAGAACTAGCGTTCCCATTGGAAGGTTTTCCTCTAATAGTGTTCTGATGTTATCCCAAAAGTTGGGATTTTCTTTGACGTTTACTTCTGATGTTAATGGCAAACAGGACTGAATCTTCCTAATGGGGACACAGCAATGAAAACTGTCAGGGGCTCTAATCCCTCTCCACTCTATCCAAAACCAAAAAAAAGTTTTGCCTTTAGTTATACTTCAAACTACACTATATTGCCAAAAGTATTGGGACACCTACCTTTATACGCAGATAAACTTTAATAGTATTCCAGTCTTAGTCTGTAGGGTTCAATATTGAGTTGGCCCATCCTTTACAGTGATACCAGCTTCAACTCTTCTGGGAAGGCTGTCCACAAGGTTTAGGGTGTCTAATGTTTGATCATTCTTCCAGAAGCGCATTTGTGAGGTCAGGCACTGATGTCGGATGAGAAGGCCTGGCTCGCAGTCTCCACTCTAATTCATCCCAAAGGTGTTCTGTCAGCTGGAGGTCAGGACTCTGTGCAGGCCAGTCAAGTTCCTCCACCCCAAACTCACTCATCCATGTCTTTATGGACCTTGCTTTGTGCACTGGTGCGCAGTCATGTTGGAACAGGAAGGGGCCATCCCCAAACTGTTCCCACAAAGTTGGGAGCATGAAATATTCTAATATGTCTTGGTACGCTGACACTTAAGAACTACTGGAACTAAGGGGCCAAGCCCAACCCCTGAAAAACAACCCCACACCATATTCCCCCCTCCACCAAACTTTACACTTGGCACAATGCAGTCAGGCAAGTACCGTTCTCCTGGCAACTGCCAAACCCAGATACATCCATCGGATTGCCAGACAGAGAAGTGTGATTCATCATTCCAGAGAACACGTTTCCACTGCTCTAGAGACCAGTGGCGGCGTGCTTTACACCACTGCATCTGACACTTTGCATTGCACTTGGTGATGTAAGGCTTGGATGCAGCTGCTCAGCCATGCAAACCCATTCCATGAAGCTCTCTACACACTGTTGTTGTGCTAATCTAAAGGCCACATGAAGTTTGGAGGTCTTTAGCTATTGACTTTGCAGACAGTTGGCGACTTCTAAGCACTGTGCGCTTCAGCATGCACTGACCCCGCTATGTCATTTTACGTGGCCTACCACTTCATGGCTGAGTTGCTGTTGTTCCTAGTTGCTTCCACTTTGTTATAATATCACTAACAGTTGACTGTGGAATATTTAGTAGCATGGAAATTTCATGGATGGACTTATTGCACAGATGGCAACCTATCACGGTACCATGCTTGAATTCACTGAGCTCCTGAGAGTGACCCATTCTTTCACAAATGTTTGTAGAAGCAGTCTGCATGCCTAGGTGCTTGATTTTATAAACTTGTGGCCATGGAGGTGATTGGAACACCAGAATCCAATGATTTGAACCGGTGTCCCAATACTTTTGGTAATATACTGTATATACATTCATCCGGCCACTTTATTAGGTACACCTTGCTAGTGAACATTACACCATCATTACACCACCACCACCAGCCTGAACCATTGATACAAGACAGGATGGATCCATGCTTTCATGTTTACACCAAATTCTGGCCCAACCATCTGAATGTCACAGCAACCAGTCTGCCCATTCTCCCCTGACCTCTGACAACAAGGCATTTTCAACACAGGCTTATTAGAGATTTTCTCTTTTTCGGACCATTCAACCCTAGAGATGGGTGTGTGTGAAAATCCCAGTAGATCATTTTTGAGAGCCCATCTTTCCATGTTCAAAGTTTCCTTTTTCCCCATTCTGATGGAACTTCAGCAAGGTCTGTCTACATGATGCATGGTTGCTGCCATGTGGATTATCTATTGTCCCAATAAAGTGGCTGAGTGTAGGGGGTCTATTTGGCACCTCCAGCACCAAATGTATGTAATTGCATGGTGCCTGCCTGTGATGGCTGGGGCTGATTAGCAATTTGATTGTTACCAATTGAAAAGGTGTTGTAGTTGCTGGGAGGTCAATTGCTGCCAGAAGGGACCTACTGTTGAGGGAGGGGTTCTATTGTTGCTTGCTGGTGGGATATCTTGTTGTTGCTGCTGGGGGATCTATTGTTGTTGGGGTAATCTATGGTTGCTAGGGGAGCTATTGTTGCTGATTGCAGGGGTTGCATCTATTTTACTGCTTTTCTTGTTTTCCTTAAATTCCATACAAACAGATATTTGGCTCTGTATTCTCTAAAAGGAGCCATACTGGGAGGTGGGTAGGTGGTGGAACCAAAGGATGATGCTCTGAGGTGGGTAGGGGGCAGAAACAAGGGGTGACTCAGAAGGGAGGAGTCCCTTTAATTTTTTGAGCAGAGTGTGTATGCATGTATATGTGTGTGTGTGTGGTATGTGTGTGTGTGTATATATATATATATATATATATATATATATTATATATTATAGTTTTGGATAGTGGTGGAAAGGGATGGGAGATTTGCCCTCTTCAACTGACTTGTTTACCTTTATCATTAAAGGTGAAAGTAAAAGAAAATCCCAAACTTTGGGTTAACATTGGAACACTGAAAGAGAGGAAATCTTTTAATGGGGACACTAGTTCTGGTGACACCCTGGGAATCCCTCACTTTAGATTTCCTCTCACTTCCTGTGTTGGCTATGGGACAGGAATTAGAAAGATTCACTCTTCCTGTCATCAGGAGTGAAAGTCAAAGAAAATCACAAACTTTTGGATTGTCACCAGAACAGGAATAAAGGGGAAATCTTCCATTGAGGACACTAGTTCTGGTGACAATCAGGGATTTCCTCTCACTTCCTGTTTTGGCTATGGGACAGGAAGTGAAAAGAAATCTCCCCATATGAGACACAGGTGGCAAAATAACTTATAACCCTCCCTGACTGTTCAAAATGTAAAAAACACAAATCTTCTGTCTATCGTTTTACTTTAAAGAGGCACATTACCGAACTACCTGAAAAATTAGGCTTTCATCACACCGCTGCATTGCCATTGTGTGTAAATTTGCACACTTTTTTCGCAATACATAGAAATGCTCATTACAATACAGTACATTTTGGTGCAAAGTAATTGGTAAAAAGTGCCAGACACTTATGTGTGTTGAGCAGTTAATGCAATCAATGGGCTGTCCTAAATGTGATGCAGGAATATGCAGAATAGGGTGAGCGCTCCATCGCAGCTGTTAGGTGTGAACAGAGTCTAATAGACCAGTGTTTCTAAACCTTTTTTCAGTCAAGGCACCCTTTAAAATCATGGACGGTCCCGAGGCACCCTTTAAAATCATGGACGGTCCCGAGGCACCCTTTAAAATCATGGACAGTCCCGAGGCACCCTTTAAAAGTATGGACAGACTGGAGGCACCCCATTCTAAAATGGGGTGCCTCCAGACTGTCCATAATTTTAAAAGGGCACTGCATTCTAAAATGAGAAACTATGTGACCCCAGCACTGATGGAGAAGGGCAGCGGAGGGTCAAACTAGGATGCTGTGCAGGCAGCTGGTATCCTCCTTATCAAATGAAGATGTCATTGGTTGTCAGGACACTGGCGGCTAGACGGTCGTAATGGTGCACGATGGAAACCTGTGGCTCTGTGTAACTAAAAGGCAGGCTTGTTTCATCGCTGGCTTGTATACAAATTTGGGGAAATTTTTAGACCTTTTGCCAAGCACCCCTGAAGAAACCTCAAGGCACCCTGGTTGAGAGAGGCTGTAATAGCAGCAGGGGCGGACTGACCACTCATGGGGCCCCCGGGCAATAGGGGATCATGGGGCCCCTGTGTCCTTGCCCAAACTCAAAAAAGCCAATGAAAAAGGTACCAGGGGCATCTCATGGGGCCCCCTACTGACCGCGGGGCCCTCGGGCAGTGCCCGAGTTTCCAAATGGTTCAGTCCGCCCATTTCACACTCATTTGTCTCAAAACAGGGTTTGCAGAGTTGGCCCGGATT